TTCAATATCAGCGAAGTTTCTCAATTTATTCATGCTTGCTAAGTGCCTATCGTATTCAATTATTTATTCATAACAATTTTCTAATTTACTTTTTCTCCGTATCTCCTTACGTTTTCGAGATAGAAATACTAAATCCGCAGTTTTCCACTAGATTGCGCAGTAAGCGATAAAGCTTTTGTTGCCTATAGTCATTTTACTGCACCAAATCACTACTTATATAATTGTATCCTCTGCCGTGCGAAATTTAATCGGGTCACAATTCGGCGTCCTATATATCTCAACTATTATGTATATTCTTTGCATATTCTTATCAATATTCTTTGTATTTTATGTGTCTCCATATTTTTTATATGTTTAGTTGTTTAGGCAGGAAAGCGATCAAAAATTTGAGCCATTTGATGTCAGTTTCCCATTTTGAGTATTTTGCTACATTTCTGGAATCAAATCAAAACCTTTTCTCATGAATATAAAACGTGTTTATCCAAAGTAAAAAGAGTGTTATGTAGAAAGTAAATTATTTATTATTCTAATCATGCATTGAAATAACACCAAAAAAATTTTGAGTTATAAGATATAAAAACTCTTACCCTAATTTCAACTACGTCATTTTGAAAGACAAAATGCAAAATTCGAATAGAATCCGTAGTTTTTTATAAATTTAAAAATTTAATTAATGAATTTTTAGAAAATTTGAAAACATTTTTAGAAAATTTATATAAAAAGAATTTTTAGAAAATTTAAAAAGACTACTGTTTTTATACTTTTCAGCGTAAAAAAATTGAAATTAGCATTAAGAGGTCTTAAGTTAGACCTAAACTATTGGATCACAATTTTTGGATTTTGACTGTCTTCTATATTTTTAGGGTTAAAATCCAATTCTTTCGAGAAAAAAAAGCCGTTTGTTTGTATGTTTGTCGTGCCTGTTTCCGTAACTTAATTAATAGTTGGGACTAATTAATTAGCACATTTGAATCATGAAGATTGGCATTTAGTACATGAAAATCAAAGCATTGAAACAAAATTTATTTTGGGTTACGCACTGTTCACCTTTCCCGCTGGTGTAGGTAAGAGCTGTTGTTGGAAAAAGCAGGTGTGAAATACACCGAAGAGCCATTACATTATGACCACCCTGCTAATAACATGTAGGACCACCTCTAACCCTTAAAACTGCTAGCACCCACCATGGCATTGATTCCACAAGGTGCTGATAGGTAGTCTGAGGTATCTGGTACCAAGCACTCACCAACTGGTCCTGCAATTCCCTCACATCGCAAGGGGTAGCGTGGCATCACGAATTTGGTTTTCCAACTAGGACCACTAATGCTCTATTGGATTGAAGTCAGGTGAATTTTGGGGCAAGACATGACTTGAAAGTCACTCGAATGTTCCTCGAACCAATCCATGACGATTCGACCCTTATGACATGGTGCATTATCCTGTTGGTAAACACCATCCCCCGCAGGAAAAACTGTTGCCATGAATGGGTGAACCTGGTCTGCAACTATGTTCAAGTAGCTTACAGACGTCAGGGATTGTTCTATGAGGATTATGGGTCCTGATGTGTTCCATGAAAAAATTGTTCCTGGGCGAGAAACCATGAAAACCTGGGCGAGCTCATTGTTATAGATGGAGGGTGGTCATAATGTGATGGCTCTTCGGTGTATATTTTAAGGGTTAAAAATCTAATTTTTTCGAAAAAAAGCAGTTTGTCTGTTTACCGTGCCTGTTTCCGTAACTTAATTAATCGTTGGGACTAATTAATTAGCATATTTGAACCATGGAGATTGGCACTTAGTGCATGAAAATCAAGACATTGAAGCAAAATTTATTTTGGGTTACGCACCGTTCATCTTTCCCGCTGGTGTTGGAAAAAGCAGGTGAGAAATAAATAGTCTATAATCCCTGACCGATTAAGGGATCATTGATTACTAAATAGATTAACCAGTGTCTCATTTCGTAGCTTGAAATATGACCGACACAAATATTTTTGCATATATAAGTCCCTCGAACCATTAAGATATACGCGGCAATCTAATCTCTAAGTTGTAAAAAATTCCAGATCAAATTATGTTTAATAGTACCGGCACTCAGGATGATATAGTGCTTTTTACCGTAAAATTGTTTTATATTGTACAATTTTACAGAACAAAAAATCGTATGCGTAGTAATTTTTGTGAAGTAACATTTACTATAAAATCACTATGATTTTATGAATATTACGGTGAAAATTACAGTTTAAAATGTTGGCGAATTTTATGATTAAATGTATTTTCAGGATGTTGTATTCAGGATGTTGTATTTTTACTGGAATTTGATCCAGAAATTTTTGGCAGAGTAGATCAAAAGATATTAAGATGTTTTGATTTGAATTTTACGCACCGTACAGTGAATCCCCCTGAATAACTATTTATCTAATGATCCGGTTGTCACGTACTCGGATTCAATCTTAATGGTTCACGGCTGTGGCCTATTGGGATCATATTTCCGAGACTGCGGTTACCCTATTTATTTTGTGGGTCAGAAATCATAATCCATCGAAAAAAAAGGTATCTTTTTTCAGAGAAAGTACGTTTTTGTGTCCGACTTCGCAATCTAAAATATCATCGTCACCAATTAATTAGCTTATATGAAGTACCACTTGAAACATTAAAGATTGAGCCATAATACTTGAAAATCCGATTATTATATCAAAAGTTATTCCGGGTAGATATTTATTCCTTTTTTTTATTTTGCACACTGTACATAATCATTAGAAAACATTAATATTATATTTAAACTAAAAAATAATTTTTTTTATTAAATCTGGTTTAAAATGTACTTTTAAAATTGCTTTATTTTTCGCGCCTGATTAATAATATTTAAATCGTTATGCTAAATTTTTCATTTGCATCGTATGCATGAAATCATAACATCATTTTAGTTTAATTAAAAGTTTTTTCAAACAATTTGGATCAATATTGTGATCTTTTCTTTTAAATCTTTTGCATGAACAAAAGCAAAACTGAGCTCATTAATGATGCTAACACAATTCATATAAATTATCTAATAATAGTAACTCCTTCTATGCAAATACGAGGATAGTAGAAAGCTGGGAATATTCTATAAAGAAGCTGGGCTATATTCTTTTTCATAGAATTAATAAAGCTGCCTGCTTCATACATTAGCATATATATTAAAAAAAGGAATATTTCGTTAATAAGCTTTTACCTTTTTCTTTTTTTCCCTTTATAATCATGTGAATTATTTTATTTGCTATTCTTAAGAAGGTATTATCGATAAATATTTTATGTTTCTTAATTATTTGCCTTAGGTAAAATTAAGATTGGTTAGGGAGATTGAGCCTTTGTAATTGGATTTTTCAATTACGTGATCGAACAATGAGGTATTAATCTTTTTTGTACATGAAACTAGTATAACTTGGAGCTAAAATATAAATGAGGCTGAGATAGACGTATACAAAATTTTTAAAAATATTAAGTTTTGAAAATAACATGTTGTCGGGTGTACCAAAACTGACTGATAATTTGAAAAATCAATTAAAAGTATCGTTAAAAGAAGAACATGCACGATGTGTTGCGTTTGTATTTGTTAAGAAAACAAGTTTTTTTTATCAAAATTCAAAATTAGTGGCAAATTTAATCAGCAGATGGCAATGAAAAAATCTATGAAATAATATTTCTTGTTGCGTATCTGACCGGAAGATTTTAACTTAAATATTTGCAAAGGCAACTTTTGATTTTATTTTCATACTGCGGTACATTGTTGCTGCTAATGGTGGTTATCTTAAAAAACTTTGTTTAATAAGTTTCTAGGTTGACAGCGAAATCATCGGACAATGTTTTTTTCTTAACTTGCAACCGAGTAGAAATTCAGAAATTGGTGAGAATGGAATCTCTAGACATCTTAGCAGCACGCAGTAAACCACATATTTCCATCTTCTTCCGTTTGTTTTTAATTTTATTCTTTTTTTTTTTAAATTGAAGTTTTTATACTAAAAACAAACACAAAGGAAAAAGTATGATCAAAATTACCAGTAAAGTTGATCATGTTTTTGATCAACTTTGGGAACAGTGTTTCCCAAACTTATGACTTTTGAGTACCCTTTCTAAATTTTTCGTAACGCAGCGTACCACTAATAAAAAAAATGAATTTATTTTTTACTATAAAAAAGTTGCACAAAAATGTAAAAAATCACAACTGGCTGTTGATACTACTAATTATTAACTGTTAACTCTACAAAAAATAGCCAATAGAAAAATACGTAACCGTAAATTTTCATGACTAGCTTTATTTTTAAATAAAATTTTTGAAATTTTCGTTTGTTGCACGATATTTCGCATAAGAACGCGTACCCCCGCTAAACTGTTCCCGTACTCCTGGGGGTACGCGTACCACACTTTGTGAAACTCTGCTATAGAAACACAAAGCTCCGTAATTTACGGAAGCACTTAGGTGATGATTTGGAGAAAAGTGACAATAAAATATTGTGTTATACTAGAGGATAAAATTTGATATCTCTGGTAAAATTTGCTAATTTATGATGATACCTTAGAACATGGCGTAAAATTCCTTTATTCTGTTGAATTCACTTTTTAGTTTCGTATTTACTATTTATGTGGAAATAAGAGCTATAATTTTAAAAAGCAGAATTTTGGTAAACCGTTACCATAAGAATGAAAAAACTGCCTACTAAATGGTTGAATATCGTATATTTCAGTTTCATTAACCAGAATTATGTTTTTTTTAATAGCAGAAATGTCATTACCATACAACACGGTAATTTTACTAGAATTTTTTCTCCGTGAAGTATTAGTGGCACGAAAGAAAGTATATAAAGATATATGACTTTAAAATCAATAAAATTAAAATAAAAATATAAAATAAAATAGATAGTTACACACATTTTTCATCTAGGTACTCTTTCAGTAATGTTATTAGATTTACCACAATTTATTGCTTTGATAATAGATTATTCTTTTTATTAAGTAATAAAAGCACACTTTTATTTGAAATTTGAAGAATTTATTTATCAATACTATAAAAACTCTGTTATACAATATTCTAAATACACTATAAAATGAAGATACAGTAATCAATAGACTGTATATACCATAACAATCCATAACAATGCATTTTGTCTATTGTATTATACATTGTATTATCTACTAGTCACATCTAAATTTCTACAAGAAATAGCAATATTTAATTATTATGTAAGCAAAAAAGATGGCGACTTTGCCATATAAATATAAAGAAAGTTCGAACTTTTTTGAGCTATGTAGCTTTTTCTAAGAGAAACAAAAACCTAAATTTGTCTTTACGTAAACTTAACTTGGCATTACTTTGTGTTAAGACACAATCTCTTGAGTTCTAAAATGCGAATGTTATCATAAATAAACTAAATATATTTAGAAAAGCTTCCTTACTACATTTACCATTCCCCATTTAACATGTTATCTAACTACAAATATTATTATTTCTATCTAATGCAAAAACAACTAATAGTCTAACATTCTAAGGAATATCACTTTATTCCTTGTACAAGTGAGAGGAATATTGAGTACATCAAACAAATTAACTTTATATAGAAAAAGTTATTTCAAATAAGTACAGTTTAAAAGTGTGCAGTGTTAAAAAAATTAGTCTTAATAATTTCAATTTGATAAATTTCAAACTTTAAAATTTTTACTCAAACATTATTGATAAATATCTATAATTTAAGCCTTATTTAACAAGAACTTAAAAAATCGACGTGCTGTTATGTTTAATAAACATGAAATAAATTAAAAAAATTTCAACAGAAAACATTTTTTCTATAATTATCTCCAGTCAAAAATAGATAAAATTATCAAGAACCAAAAGTGAAGAAATTAGTAAAAGAACCTGACGCGTTTTTCTGTTTAGTACTGCTAAATTCAAATTTGCAAATAAATTTGAATAATAAATAGGGTTCTGCAGGTACGGCTGTGTAACATTTATTTCCCATAGTTACTGCTAACTATATTATATTAATAAACTCATGACAAAAGAAACTAAATTTCGTCCCAATATTTATTTCCTGCCAAAACCAGAAAAAATTGAAGAGATTAATAGAACGTGACGCGTTTTTCTGTTTAGTACTACTTTATTTAAAGACCGCAGATGAACACAAGTACAGCTATATAACATTTATGTTTTATCGTTACAGCTGCCTATATCATGTTATTAAAATCATAAATTTTGTGAGTTCTCAAAATATTATTTAACACGTTCTGCTACCCAACACTTAAATACATAAACAATTTTTGCATTCAACTTTTTTAATTTTTTTAATCCAATTTCTTAACACAGCCAAATTTACAGTTTACCTGACATGCTACATACTAAAAAAAATTCAGTGTTTTATATATATCGTTTAAAATATTGTCTAAAATAGGCTTTTAATCACATAATTTAGAGATTTTTTAAAATAATCTTCAACTTTTTCAACTACTAAATTTTTTTGATTAATCATTATTTTTAGTAAATGTTTTCAATTTTTCTCTAAATTTTTGACACAACTAAATACGAAAGTTTACTTCATATAATTATTAATTATATATGTCTAATAGGTTAAAATAAATTCATTAGAGGTAACTAAATTCATTAATTCATTTTCTCGATTAGTTGCAAACATCTTACTAAATAAGAAGACATTTAATTAATAAATTGAACTTGAAAGCAAAACTCTTGTATTATAAATTAGGATGCCACCCTAAAATTACAACATTCGCTTTCGAAGAAGATGCTCAGAGCGGTTGCCAAACTTTGTTCAAAGCTAGATTTCGATGGAATACATTTAGTGTCACTTGATTTATTTATTTCTTGCACGTTCGATTTAATACAATTTAATATCTCTTAAACCAAACAAACACACTTGTTTATTGTCTATAAATCATTCCGATATAACGCCAATAGTTTCAGCCATAGAAAGTTTCTGAAGCTGGAGGCATCCAATAATGAGACATTGATAAAACTACTTTCGATATTCATAGACCACCATATTATACTCTAAGGAAATATTCACACAAATTCCACAAATCTTGCAAATAACAAATATTCAGAATATTTGTATTACATAAAATATGCTTGTAGCAAACTTGTTAATAGGTATATATCTCAGAACTTCTTGATTTACTAATGAAGTCCTTTAACTTTCCATTTTAACAGGACAAGGGAAAAAATATCTACACAATTCAAATAAACATTGATATTTGTATCACATTTTTTTTCTTACTCGTGGCTTTAAAAACTCTGACTCATTACGGTAAATTCACATATTTCATTTTAAATCTCATTAAACTTATTTCTGACACATATTTATTTGATATGTAAAAATAGCATCAAGCTACGAAACTGCGATATTAACTTATAACAATCTAAGCACTAAGCATCTTGATATACTCTGATCCCTTAGCTTTTAATTAAAGGATATTTTAATGATAGTTTTTAAAAGATACTTAAAAAGAGATAAATAATTTAAAATTTATGTATTTTTAAGAAAAGCCATGAAAAAATATAATATTTATACATGTTATAGTTACTACAGTGAAAAAAAATTCTGGATGAAATTTCAGTATAAAGTACGGGCACTTTGGGTGTATCATCCGTAAAATCCATATTTACCGTGAAATATTATACTGTCAATTTTACAGTACTATTTATTTTATTAGATTTATAAAGTGATTTTAGGATAATTATTACTGTAAAGATTATGGTATAACAGATTTTTTTGTTCTGTAACATTTTCTGGTCAAAATGAATTTTACGCAGTAATAAAATTACTAAAATCTATACTAGTACTAAAAGTACTCGAACTCTGAGTGTCGGTACTTTTCACCGGAATTTTATACTGAATTTTTTACTGAGTAAATAAAATTCGGCATTCCACTGAATCCTTGAAATCAACCGGCAAAGTATGCAATACACACTGCCTAGACATTCTATAAAATGGCTAATAAAAAACTTACAGGTATTCTACACATTGTCTAGGTGAAGTAAAAAAAATCCCCTATTTTATACTTTGCCTTCGATACAATAATCAGGTGTTTTATAGAAAGCCGGCATTTTGGACATTGACGGTAACACTTATTCTAATTTCTTCAGGTATCAACAATTTCTTTAAAAATCATCCACTACTATATACTATGACTAAAATAATAATGACTATCATCTACACTAAAAAAGCGTCTCTGCAATAAATGAACTATCACACTCGTATTGGCAGTGGACTTTCAATCACACCCGTGCTATTTTCTGTTACAGTTTCCAAGCTTTCATCTATTGGGTAAAGAGTGGTTGATGGTAAAGTGTGGACAGGAGAATTTTCCATAGTGAAGGAGAACTTAGAATATTTTTGACAGAATTCTGTGATTCTTCTACAAGCATCGCGAATATCATCTTCTGGAACAGTTAGGACCAGACGAACGTAGTTCGGATACTCGAAACACTGAAAAAGAAGTAAGATATGCAAATGAAAATATTACTCAATTAACTATGGCTTCCATTTTTTCTACCACATTTATTATTTTATAAAATATATGTCATACAAAGGATTTTAATCGTCTAGATCTTATAGCCGTTATTCTTCCAATTTGAGCAATAAAATATCAATTTTTCAGACAATTTTAACTGTGACTGAATGTACATTAAAAAGAATCATACAGTCTTCAAACTCAAACTAATTTAAAGGCAAAATTCATAGTATGATGCAAATCAAATATTTTCCGAAATTTGATTTGTTTATGAAGAAACAGTTTGAGACTCTTAAATATCGATGAATCCATGCTGGATGCTCTATGAAAGAAGTGACTTTGTAAAGTCGTTTACAAAGTCACTTATTAGTCACCAATCTTATTAGTCTTTCAGAGTAGTATAATTAGTTCTATTAAATTGTGCAAAAACAAGTTAACTTTTCTAAATTCATTAAATTCCGAAAGCACATTAAATTCCGAATTGTTTACGTTTCAAAATGGTATTTTTGAATTATAAAATAGAGCATAAATAGTAATTTTATTAAGATTATGTATAACATCTTTTTACAGTTATAATTATGTATTCAATAAAGTACTATTTCTGATAAAGTAACTCAAATTGTTAATTATTTAAAAATATCTTTAAATTAGTTCAAACACAAATCCTTAAATAACTCGATGTATAAAAGTACAGAGTAACGCCCCTTTTAAAAATAACGGTTCAATTATTTATTTTAATTTATATCAAGCTGTGCACAATCATAAACTAATGCAATTTTCAAAAACAATTTGCAAAGTGAACAAATTAATTTTCTTTTTAATTGAACAAAACAATGTGAAATATTATATTTGATTCTTATAATAATTATAATATGTATTAAATAAAATTCTATCTCTCAGTAAAGTAACTCAAATTGTTAATCGTTTGAAAATATCTTTAAATTGGTTCAAACACAAATCCTGAAGTTACTTCATATATAAAAATATTGAATATCGTCACTCTCAAAAGTGATAGTTCGATTATTAATTTTAACTAATGTAAAGCTGAGCATAAACTGATGAAATTATCAAAAAAAAAGTTTACAAAAGGAAAAAATTAGTTTTCGATTCAATTGAACAAAACAATGTAAGATAACACATTTAAAAGAATATTATTAATATTATTAATGAGAATATTATTAATTTATAAATTATATTAAATATTTAAAAGAAATATATTTGTGATATAAATTTTTCGTCAAGATTTATTTACTCTAGCAACGATTTGTTTATATTTCCAACTAAAAACTAAAATCTAACCAAATAAAAACTACCCTGAAGAAAATGCTCATTAAATAAGTGCTTTCAACAAATGATAAAAAAAAAAAAGAAAGAAAACTTTAGCAAGAAAAAAATGTTTGTTGGCAACATTTGAAAAGCCCGTACCCATGCTCCTTTGACATTTAAATGACCAATCTCTCTTCTAAAAGCAACCACACAATTTTACCGATTTCAGTCGTATTTCCTTTCCTTCTTTTAGGAAGAAGGGGACATAAGAGCATTTGGGAGAAACGTTAGGATCTGATGGGTTTTAATACCTGTTTTGTAGGTTGCTATAGAAACTGTCGCTAACTTAAGTATACCTACCCACGAAAATCGGGGGGGAGGGGGGGAGAGAAATATTTTCACAATTTAGAGCGGCGAAAGAAAAGATTCTTGTCTCAAGTATTCCAACAAATTCTTAACACATCAGATAAATAAAAAATTTCTATTGTTCTTTCGCATGGAAGGGTTTGCAAACTTCAAAAGTGCGACATCAAAAAAAGAATTCTGTAAATATATGACGTTATATGAAACTTTTGAATATAATTGCGGATTAGGAAAAATATGCGTTTATAATTAGCTTTTTCGGGTTTTAGATAGTTATTGTTGCTTTTTTGTGCTGAAAAATTTGATCTACTTTTTTTTACATATTTATATAGTTGATTAGGATATTGCTTCATAAGCTTCAGCTTTTCTTGCTGTTAGTTAATTTTTAACTTTATTTTTCAGTTCATATGATTTTCAGTTAAAGTTTTTGTTTTTTATTAATAAATATTTTAATTTTGCTATGACTCTCAAACGATACTAAAAATATAAATAGGTTTAATTTATAAATTACTGTTAAATACATCCTCAAAATTGATAAAAATTAACTTTTTGACCAATAAATTTAAATGTAGAAGTGGGAATTAATTCGACCTGAATTGAAAAAAGTATATTTGTCAATTTGTTGACTTAAAAAATTTTTTCAAGATAAAATATAGTTTCTTTGGATATACTCGAAGCAAAAAACAACTAAATGAGTAACTCAGTAATAGTTTTGAGTAATTTTTCTTATTTTGTAAGTTTAACTGTTTACTTTATATTTATCCTTATATAAAAATTACATTATATTCTTACACAATATTCAAAACAGTAATCGGAACAATTAACTCTTTGGCGCAGAATTTTCATTAAACACATTTTTCAAACGCTTTTTGATTATTCTGTCGTAATTTAAGTCAAAGTAATTGAAAAATATTACATTTAGAGTTGTAATAATTTATGGTTTTGAAATTGGGATAGATAGGCGCAGAAAAGTATGCATGTGTCTCTTGGAAAGTATTCTCACTAGCAAGTATTTTCAAGTGTATATTACTACCTAGATATTGTTTGGAAGAAAGCATTTTAACTTTTTAAATTTGAATTTAAATTATTAGCCAAAAGTTAAGAAAATTGGATTATAATGGAAAATAATTAACGTTGGTTGATAATGAGATAGATTGACAAATTTTATTGTATAGTTCCAATATAGATAAGAATATAGATTCTGCTTTAATAAATGTATTTTGATAAAAGAAAAGTAAAAGAGTGAATCTGAAATTATACAAAATATGTTATGTATCTTATTAATTAATGGAATCATTGTTTGAAAAGAGAAAAGGAGATAAAATACAATATTTTATGTAGAAAAAATCCAAAAGCTCAAAGGCTCTCAGTACTTAAGAACTTTTTGTTCAAGTACTTAAAAATGACAGAGCATTATGAATTTTAAGTCAGATTACATAGTAAATTTTGGATGGTGTTTCAAAATTTTATTTCGAAAACTGTATAAAAAATATTACAAATGTTTTTACAGAAATATCACAAGAATTTTTAAGATTACTAAAAAATCATCAAATAAGAGGGTGTTTTACGTCAATCGTTCGCAATTAATTCACAATTTTTTTTAAAAAATGTTTTCGAAATTTTTTTTAAAAGATCAAAGAAAGAGAGTGTAAAGACTATTTTTTTTACACAAATAGCCAATTTTCTGAAAATGAACGTTGTTCGTAAATCATGTTCATAAACTTTTGTCGTTAGAGTAATTTTAACATTTTTATATATTATTTATGAAAAAAATTCTAAGTAGAGCAACCTTAAGTTGTAAAGTGATACAACTAAACACACGTTATGCGCTATTTAATGCTTTCTTTCAATAATTCATTCTTTTCAGATTTACGTTTTATATAAATTTTAACCCAGCTGACAGAAATATAATATGAGGTATAGATTCGAATATATTTGAACGCTACATCAAAAGTGAAGAAAGAAACAATTTTTTCAATATTAAAAAAAAGTCGTGAAATATACTCTTAAACGTTTCTTAAAATAGATTCGCATCTTTAAATCTCTCGTGAATTCAGAAGATGGAATAAAATGTGTTATGAAATGAAATATGAACGGAAGGGAAAAAAAAGTTAATGCATATTTTCATTCTAGCGATATCGATAGTAAAGAATGAATTGATATGAAATAACAGTACTTTCATTGGATAGAAAATATCGTCATTTCAGACGATGGTTTGTTCTAAGGGAGGGAAACTCATTTACAAAGGACAAAAGAATTTTGAAAAGACTTTCACTCAACTGAAAGAACTAATAAAACTCTTGAGAAATTCAATTTTATTTTGGTAATTGAAGTGCCTTCTATTTATTTATCTAATAAATGCGATCGAATCGTTGTAAAGAAATAAAAATTTTAAATAGTAAAATAATAAAAATTGTTTTTAATAAAAAAATATTATCAAAATTTAAAAAAAGTTAATAAATAAGCGAAATTTTGATTTAACACCTTTTTTTATTTCATCAAATTTATATTTATTTCATGCTTGTACTTCTTCAAATATTCATGAGAAGTATAATGAGGAAATCAAAATCTTACTTAAAGGTGTCTGAAATAAATTATTTCGGGGAAACATTAATATGCAGAATATCGATATTGATGGGAATTGCAGAATATTCGAATTGATTGAAAATTATTTCAGAGAAACATTAATATGAAGAATAGTCGATATTGATGGGAATTGTAGAATAGTCGATATTGATGGGAATTGTAGAATATTCAAATTGATTCGAGATAACAAAAATTATTAGGATTCCTATCTGTTACAATTTTTAAATTTCACGTGAATTCAGAAATAGAAATAAAATACGTTTTTAAATGAAGTACGGACTCAAGAAAAAAAAAGGTAAGACATATTTTCATTTAAGCGATATCGATAGTAAAGGGTGAATCGATATAAAATAATACTTCTACTAAATAGGAAATATATCACTATTTCATATGATCGCTTGCTCTGGTAAAGAGACACTCATTCTCACAGGACAAAAGAATTCTATAATTAACTTTCACCGAACTGAAAGAACTAATAAAACTCTTGAGAAAATTCAATTTTATTTAGATTATTGAAGTGTCTCTTATGCATCAATTTAAACGTTTTAAATAATCAGAAATTTTAAAAATTGAGAAAATGAAACTGAATTTTTTTTAAAAAATAATAGAAAGCAAATGAAATAAACAATACTTCAAGTAATTTCTTTTTTTAATTTCAAAATTTATATTGATTTTACGCTTGTACTTTTTGAAACATACGTAAGAATATGAGGAAATTAAAAGCTTATTTAAAGGTTGTTTCTATAAATTATTAGTATGAAACATTAATACATAACTGTAGAACAGAAAGGATTAATTTAATAATTCAGTTTTTATGATTCGCTACTGTTCCAATTTTAATCCCCAGAGCAATTCAAGAATAAAATACAATTTGTCATTAAGTATGGACGCCAAAAAAAAGTCAATGTATATTTTCATTCACGTGTTATCGAAATTAAGAATGAATTGATGTAAAATAATACTTCCACTCAATAGGAAATGTTATAATTTTAAAACGATCGTTTGCTCGTTTTAAACGATCGTTGAGAGAAACTCAGTTCAATTACAACGGACAAGAGAATTCTCTAGGTGAGTTTCCCTGAAATTAAAAAACCAATAAAAATATTAACAAATTCAATTTAACTTTGGCAATTAAAGTGTATTCATGGATCTAATGTATGTGACTAGCAAACTGTTGTAGAAAGTGAAAAGCAAAAAACTAAATAGATAAATTGTTTTTAAAAAATGTAACGAAAAATTATAAAAAAGCACTTAAAATGTAGGACACTTCGACTATTTTTTATTTTATTAAATATTTGAGAATAGTATGCAATTGCATTTCATATACATAAAAAAATATTTAGAAACGCAAAAGCTTAATTATAGGTTGCTTAAATAAATTATTTTAAGGAGACATTAATACATAAAGGTAGCTCATGCATTAATACATAATGGTAGCTCGTGCATTAATGCATAATGGTAAAAATGCTTCACTTAAAAATTGAGTTATTATTATTCACACTTAAAAATTAGTATGAATTGCTTCATTTCGAATTTTAAATCCCTATTGAAATCATATAAAATATGAAAATAAGTATGAAAACCACAATCGGTACAAGGAATAAGAATTTTAATTAATAAAAAAAAATACTAGTATAAAGTTGTTTTTTTTTAATAAAATTTTCACTATTTTGATATAATTATTTTGTTTTAATAGAATCATACATATTTTACTTTTTTTAAAGCGGGAAATAGAAAATTAAGCTTTTATTTAAATGCAAAATGCGTCAGTAAAAGATTATTTTTTTTATTAAGTATTTCAATTGGTACAATAGTAATAGTATTAAAATTTCTTGTTTCAAAAATTCAGATGTTTAACAATTTTCATTTAAAATATTATCATTAAGTAGTTTTCTAACTAATTAAACACTTTACTGTACAACAAATAAAATGAATCATTTATTTCTGCATCATAAAAAAAGTATTAAGCTGTATCTAACCATATAATTTTAGTCAATTATATGTACGATTCGAATTTCAAATCAAATTATTTTTACTGAGTTAGCTAAGAATTATCTAGAAATAATTATTTCAACGTTTAAGTCTTCGGTCAGTTCTATGTTTTGTATTTCTTTTTCTTTTTAAAGTTGTAGAATACTTTGATCCAAAATTGATCTAGTTTCATTTAAAAAAAATACTAACTTACATTAAATTAGACAAATATTTGATTCAATGTCCAGGTAAAGAGCTTAATTATAATATCCTAATGGAATGCTTAAAATTTTGGAAACTGTTTTTTTTATTTGCATACTTTATGAATATTTTTAGAGCCCAAAAAATTACAATTTAACAAAAAATACAAGCAAAACATAATTCATAAAAAATTCACAGTTTTCATCAAATTTAAGATTATGGTTTAGTTTTCTCATTAAATGGTCTTAAAAGTTTAAACCCCACATGAAATAAAAAAGAACAAAAGAAATATTTTATGAAACGGCTTTGAACGCTAAACACGTTTAAAGCGATGCGGTAATTAGAATAAACGGTATTTAATAGAAATTCAATTCCGATTCAAAACGTAGTTCATCAAATAAAGAAAAGAACTGCCTTTAAAGAGGGACAAAAGAATTCAATTAGTTCCATCAAATTGCAAGAGCTAATAAAAGTCTGAAAAAACTCTAATTTCTTATCTCCAATTTAGCTTTTCGATATTTAATTTAGATGTTTATTGAGCTTTCAGATATTTAATTGCAAAAGCTAATAAAAGACTTAAAATATTCTAATTCCTTTTTGGCATTTGAACTTTTAGATATCTAATTTGCATAGTTCAAATTTCATTAACGCAAATTATTATTATTATTGTTTCATTAAAGTAAGTTTACTTTAGTAAATTTTATTCAATGTTTTTTGATGAAAAAAGAACAACGGAAAATTATTTTTTTTATTGCAATCATCTTCAAATATTTTCTATTTTAGCTTAATTTATCTGCACTAACTTAGCATATTTAAAACACCAGGCATGGTAAACTTATTTTCTTATTATGTTTTGATGATAAACTTAAAATGAAAAAGCAAATTACTAATAAATTACAATATTTTCGTTAAAATAAGTTATAAACTTTAGACTGATATGAAATAAATGGATAAGTATTAAATGGACAGGCAATTTATAAAATTCATACCAAATATGATATGCATAAAATTCATTACTAAATAGAAAAGAATAAATATTGACATTAAATTTTATTTAAAGTAATTAACTTTAGTGACTAAAAACTAAGAATATTTAATTAGAAAGAGAAACAAAGCCATTGAAAACTCAATCTAAAAATAATTATTGCCTTGCAATATGCATTTAAAGTATACTACGTATTATATATATATTTATATCAAAAACTATAATTTGGTGACAAAAAACTAAGAGTTCTCAATATTAGAAAGTAAAATAAAATCACGATGAACTCAATATGAAAATATTTTTAATCCTTTTACAAAATGGCCCAGAAAATATATTACACATTGTGAGCATAAAATTCATTCATAATGGTAAATGATAGCTGCTTGGATTAAAAATAATAACTAATTGACTAAAACGAAGAGTTTTAAATTAGAAAGCAAACCAAAATCATAAAAGAACTCATAAAAATTTTTATTTTTTCCAAGCATTTTTGTTGTTTAACTGAAAATCTAAAATGCATTAACTTCGAAGTTTATTTGTTAGAAAAAATTTTATTACTCTTTCTATGGAGCTTTCTCAATTATCATTTCATATATACCATATTGAAACATTAACAATGATACTTATATATTTATAATAATCCATTAGCTGCATCTAATTTCCTGCATTTAAATTTTATATTAATTTAAAATGATTTTTTTTTAAATTTCATTTCTGTATAAATTTTGAATTTAATTAGCAGAAAAGTGATTATTTCGAATTTCTGCTTACGTTTCATTTAATTAATAAGTAATTTAAACCAAAACCGCACTTTAAAACACGGTAAATCCTACCTGAATATAGTAAAATTTATCGTGTTTCTGGCTCTATGGTAACACCAAAAAGCTTGATAAGTTTTAACGAAGCGTTTTAGCAATGACTTTGGTAAAATTAACATGAAATATGGTTTTAAAATACGTGATAAAATTTCGCAATAATGTTAAAATTTAGTAATTTTATCGTGATACCTTAGAAAATGGCATAAAAACCATTTATTAAGTTAAATTTACTCTTCAGTTTTGCATTTTTTTCTAAATGTATGGTAATAAGAATTATAATTTTTTATAACCAGAATTTCCGGTTAATCAAAATACAGAAAAGCATTACCAAATGAATGTGTTTAACTGCCGTATATTTTAGTTTTCATTACCAAAATTATGGTATTTCTTTTACAAAAAATGTCATCACCATTCTCCAGCGTATTCATCAATTTTAAAATATCTAAAAAACTTGACTTACTGTTCCTGGCAAGCACATAACAGATTGCTCACACATTAGTCTTTCCACAAATTCCATGTCATTTTTGAAACAATTGAAACTCTTAACATCAATTCCCACCTAATAGAAAACACATACATTAACCAGCATATTAAGTTATTGATTTTTAATAATACGAATTTTAATTATAATGCGTCCATAAAATATGTATATCCATTATATATTGGCAGGCTTACATTATACTTCGCATTTAATGAGTAATAAGGAATATAATGTTATATGTATAGTCAACATTAATCAATCATAAAAAATGTTTAAATTACATTTGTAAATACATTTCAAATATACAGCGTGAAATACAAAATATAATATGTAAAATTAAAATAATACTGCAAATTTATAGTTTAAGGATAGGGCTTTGAACTATTAAAATAGCATTTTCGTATGTTGAAATCGGGTCATTAAATCATAAGTTATTCTGGTGCTCTTTTTTTATTTTGAGTACAGTAGATGAAAACACAATTTAAACATAAGTTATAGCATTATTTCTAAAAATTTTTGAACTCATAAAATTTGGAAGTGCACTTAAGTATACAATTAACAAACAATAGCTTATTTTTATACGCATACTAAAAGTACTCCTTTTTACACCGAGTTGAGTAATCACAATCTTTCTGTGGGTTCATTCTAAAACTTAGTTCAAGTTCGCATAGAGCGGAAAATAAAAGACCGCAAATGCTTCATTTCAAACAAACATTTGCAGCTGTTTACATATTTCAAAACCCGTAGTCTAGCATGATGTGATTTGGAAAGTTCTTTGTACTTGTACGATTTTTTTTTTTGGTCATTATCTTTGCTTAGCTGCAATTCTGAGAATCATTTATGATGTGTTTGATCATGACTAACGTGCTTTGATTTTTTTTCCAGAGTAACAAAATCATTTTCGGACGATTTAATTTGACATTGACAAACAGCATTAAATTGGGTGAATATTCTCATGTACGCGTCATACAATAATGATTGCATCTTAATACATAAAAATATAAACATTAGATCAAAATTATTCGGAGTGTAGGTTCTTTTTTTTACGATATTTATTGTAGCAATAGTTTGAAATGCAAAGGCTTAAAAACACTGCAGTAATTTAGAAACGCGTGTATGAAACAAATACAGTCAAACCCCGCTATAGTGAACCTTCAAGGGACCGAAATTTCGGTTCACTATAACCGGGAGTTCACTATATCCGTTACGCGGGCAATTTAACTAATGGTTCCTAAACTCCTCCCTTTTATTACACATTATTTAAATAAATGACTGAAAAATATTATGTAGTAGCAAAAAATGTGTTATTTTTCATTACTCTTCGTCTTGCGTACAAATAAAAATTAGTAATCTTTAGCTGATGAGCAATCCTCAACATCAGATATGGAAAAGCTTCCCGACTCTCAGATAATTTTTCGTGAATTTCTGTTATTCCGCTTTTTAAACCTGTTTAACCTGCCATTCGAGCAAATAAAATTAGTCTCTATAAATGGTTTTAAAAATCGGTATATATACCGATTTTTAATCAAAATAAATACATATATGTATTTATTTTGAAGCAGAAATTTCAAAATTATTACAAAAAAGATGGGGGGGGGGGAAATCAGTCGAAGACAGAAAAAAATTCATTATATCCAACTTCCTCACTTTTTTGGTTCACTATATCCACTAAAAATAACATTATACGTGCATAGCAAGGCACGGGACCGAACATTTCGTTCACTATATCCGGGAGTTCACTATAAACCGTGTTCACTATAGCGGGATTTGACTGTAATTCCAAAAAAGCTGAAGTGAAAAATATACTTGAAACAAATAAAAAAAAATCTATTGCATCATTATTGAAATGGACATGTTTTGAGAGTTGAAACGCAAAGCTCCTTGTTAAAACGACGTGAATGTTAAAAACAGAGGAAGAGGAAACGGGTTGACAGTGAATGACTTCAGTTATACCCTACCCCTGGATTGCTCTTTGAAATGTATAATTTGTCTATGGTAAAAACTCCCCCCTCCACAAAGTCGTCTGCTGCTATGAAAACAAGAATAGCGTATTTCAGGGAGGGTAGCTTCGCTTCACTCTAGGCTGACGCGATAGACCGAAGAAAATGATTCCCTTTCTCTTACCGACACGAGCCAAAACATGTCCTAAACAGTGACCCCACACCCCTACTTTAAATAGATATACCTCGTTTCCACAGTCTCCGCCACAAGTCAAGATGAATGGCATGGGGAGTTCTTACTTTAGACAAACTATATTTCACCACCGTTTAACACACGGTTTCTCTTATTTTTCCCCGTTAAAATAAATCCCTTCCGTTTTCCCGTTGGCAACTACGCCTTTTGTTTTCTTTATTTACGTCGATTTTTTTTACATTTAAACTATAAATTAAATTTTTTTTAAATTTTTAAAAAAAAATTATTTTATATTTCACATTGCCGTTATGAAGGTATTGCAAGAGTTTATATTTTAACAGAAAGAAAACAATGTATGCTTTAAGTACCTACAATTCAAGTTTTAAGTATTCTTAAATGAAGAAATTATTTTAATGCTTATTTCAGTTAACGAATTGAATTGATATTTTTCAGAACCTGAAAGAAATTAATATTAATACCTAATTATTATATGTATATATCATAAAATTTAAGCTAAAGATATATTTTTTTTGTATGATTATTATCGTGATATTGTTTTAGATAATGCAATCATTATTTTGTTTTTTGTTTATCAAAAAATGTTTCAAAAATTGCAATTATATTTATTATTTAGATGATATTTCAGTAATGCAATTAATTTTAAGATAATATTTCGTATAAGCCATTGTGTGTTAGTACTTACCATCATATACATAGCTCCTGCTGGCATTATTGGCATGAGCCCTGGAATTTCAGCTAACACAGAATAACATATTGCTGCATTTGTCTGGAAAGAAGTTTAAAGTGCTATCAATTAAAACGCAAGATAAAGGGAAAAAAATAATAATAACCGTTTAAATTAAAGCCTATATATTAATTTAAGTGTACGAATTTAAAAAAAGAAAAAAAAAGAAAGATTTTTTTAAGTTTTTTATCGAGAACATTTTAAACGATTCAAATCAAAATTTTAACTTAGACATTTAATTTAACGTAGCTAAACATAATGTGAATTTTTATAAATGTTATTAAGTAAATATGATAATTTCTGTTTTATAACTAAAAACAAAAAAAACAACAAAAAAAAAAATTTATAGATTCGAATAACTTTGTAGACTGGATGAAAAAGCACAATATTTTTATTTATACGTTTATTTACGCGTAATCACATAGTTCGTTATGTTAACGGTTAAAAATTAAAAGTTACTAAAAAAATAAAACTAAGAAGAAAAAAAATTATGATAAAAATATCATTAAAAGAGTTGAAAGTTTGCATTTTTTTTTTTACTAAGCATTATTTATGTAATATTTCTCAAATAATGGTTGCTGTTTTTTTGAGTTCGAAATTTAATTCTATAAAAAAAAGTTTATTCAAAAAATGCGATTTTTTTTTAACCTAATTTTATTAGCTGCAATTCAGGAACCTGCCCTAATTACGCTGATCAAACCATGTAGATGTAGTACCTGAGAGTCTAATCATCAAACAAAAAGTAAATTGGAGAATTTTTTTTCTTTACTATTCAGTTTTATCATGAAAGTGTAACAAATTAAAATCATGAATATATAATTTACTTATGATACAGCTTCAATAAATTTTATTCACTATATCATATCATTCTAATATTTTTGAAATATAATGAAATGAACTGAAAAGCCACGTTCCAATGTATGTTGTAGTATAAACAAAGATTTGAACTTCTAAAAAGAACTTAACTATTTTATAACAAATTCTCACAAGATGTCCAAAATTAAACTAGTGGTTTTCAAAACTTTATGCTAGTGAAATGGCTTCAAGTTAGAAAGAAATAACAATTATTGCAGTACTATCACGTTTGGCAGCAATATTTTTTTCACCATATTATTTTCAGTTTTTTAAAATTAAAAAATTATGAATTTATGCAGAAAATTCGTGTTACACGGCATGAATTTTCCAAAGTTTTCTTAAATCAAAAAAAGATAAAAGAATTATTGCAGAAAACTGTTACATAGCATGAATTCCCCCTCCCATTGTTATTTTTTAAATTTATAAAAAAAAAAAGCTATTGCTGCAAAACCGAGAAAGAGCAGGAATTTTTTCTTCACAAATATGTTTGCAATTTGTTTGCAATCAAAAAATATGTTTGCAATTCCATGTTTCAGACCAGAATTTTTTTTTTTTTCTTGAACGTTTTTTTAAAAATTATACAAAAAAATTATTGCAGTATCAAATTCATGTGACTAGACCTAAAGTTTTCTTTTTTTTTTTTTTTTTTTTTTTTTTTTTTTGTTAACCAGAACCGTTATATAAAGTATTGAAAACCACCCGTATCATTTAGGAAATCCTGTCAATTAAGAAAGAAATTTGTCTTTTTACCTTTACTGATAAAATAGTTTCTTGGAAGAAGCTCTTTGGTGTATCTCTTAATATGTCAGGTATTGCTCCTTGAATAATTGTATTGCTTCCCATAATTCTTTGGCACAATGACTGCAAACCATTTCTAATCTGCAGAATAAAAATGTAACACATCAAGCTTCACATTTTAACTGAAGGCAAGTACTTCAGGTATACGTTTTCCTTAAAGTGTATAATTCTGCTATTTCATAGAATAACTAGGTACTTCATGAAATAACTAGACAAGTCAGTTAGAGAATATAATAGATGAAAAATTTCATGCTTTAGTTGGTAATTCTATGAAATAACTAATGATAGACCATTAAAGTGAAAAAATAAACAATTTCAAAATTATTCTATAAATTAATTGATCATAAATAGCTAAAATACATTTTAGTCCTGTTGCGGATGATTAATTAATAAATAATAAGAAAAAGCAGATGATATAACTTATTATTGCTCATATTGCTCACATCAACAACTACGTGTAAAAGCAACGTAATGAAGCGTACACACATACGCATCACTGTAAAAGCAAGTATAAACGGTTCGAAATAATCTAGAAACAGTTAGAACCGGTTCAAAGAACTTTCGAGTACCGTAATTCATACTTTAACGATCAAGTAATCGCTATTCAATAAAGTATCTAGTTAAAGCGCATAATTCAATAATTTTATGTACTTTATCTGAATTGTCTAGTTACCTAATGAAATACCTAGTTATTCTATGAAATAACGGATTTTACACTTTAACTGTAACATATATATCTTAATTTCTGCAAACTACTCACATCAATTACTACTCTTCATAAAATCTTTATTATATTGTTCAATAGCATTTATATCTTCTATTTTCTTTAAGTTTTAAAATTTTTAGTTTTCGATTTTTGAACTTAATTTTAATAGCTTTAAACTAAAATCTATTTAAATTCGCACCTTATGAGCTTTTTATTTTTTCTACTTCTCCTCGCAAAGCACGTTAACGGAATTACATTCTCCTTAATAATCCCGAAAGTTATTTGCTCCGTTTATATTTGTCTGCATAGAGCAGTTGTTGAAATAGGATTATGCAAAAAATAGCAAAAGATTTTTAAAAAAAATATTACCGATTAATTTTCTTTTTAACTTTATTTCTTAAAAGGTTTGCTAAAATTTTCTGCTTTATCAGCAGTTTTTTTTTTCCTTCTGTTATTCGCTGTATTCTCTCTTAACTGTTATTCGACCTTTCACCGCCTAGGACAATCTTTTTATGTTCATTTTAATACAAAAAATGATTTGCTCTTCATTAATGATATTTTTATCTAGATTTAGTAAAAACTTTAATTACATTTTCCTTACAATGTCTTGCGCTTTCTTTTATTTTTATTTTCTGAACTTTTTTCTTTGGCCAAATTTCATATCTTATATATTTGGGTACAATAGACCTCTGGTCGATGTGCCCTGCTCGTCAGAGCTGCCCAACCTCTAAGTCTAAGTCTAATATCTTATATATTCTGCATTATTCTTTAATACATTAGAAATCTAATTTCTAGTTAGAATTTAACAATAAAAATCGACATAATGCTTGATCGATGTAAAATTTTCACGAAAACCCTGTTGAGGGTACGCGGCCACCTGCTAATTTTTTCGGCTTGAATAGCGAGATCTATTTTTTTTTTTTTTTTTTTTTTTTTTTTTTTTTTTTTTTTAAATATCCGTTCTTAACTGTCTCAAATTATTAATCCTTAGTTCCAAATTATTTATTCCTTTTTATTTTTTTGAGAAAAGATATAGATAACAACTTATTGTATATATTTTGTTTCATTATTCCTTTCTACTATATAAATCCTAATTAAATAGAAATCTCCCAGATTATTGTTAATATTATGAAACTACGAAAAAGACGCTATAATGACAAAATTTCTATTAGTTAAATCGGTGGAAATTTTTTTTCTGGATTTAGATCCTAACAACAGAAATACACTACAGCATTTAAATTCTGTTGAATCAATAAAATCTAATTGCTATTTCAAAGTTTGGAAAGGATGCCTTCCTTATTCTCAGAAAAACATATTTGCTTGACATTTTTTAAAGCTTTTTCAACCTTAACTTTTATATTTTGTCTCATTACTTGTTCTTATAATTCTCTTTTTCATTTTGTCTAATTTTACGGCTTTGATTATTTATACGATTTTTCTCGAATATTGATACAGTTTTCTTCTTTAGGTTGTTTTTATCATTTTATTTCTTTGACTGCTCCTAATGAATGCATTATATATTTAATAATTTCTTAAATGTATAATAGGAGATAATCGCGGCATATGCTTAGTGCTTATAAAATAAAATAAACAACACTAAATTCAAGAAAAAGAAATGTTGTGCTAATTCGTTAGAGGGCAGCACTGTAAGTCCCTCAGAATAAAATTTTTCAAAGAATCATCGTAAGTCACAAATATTATTTATAAAACAAATTATTTATGTTAGTAGAAAGAATAAAATATCTAATTATATGATAACTAGAAAACTGTGAATTGTCAGAGAAAATAAAATAATAAAAATCATTGAGTTTGAGAAAGATAAGTTTTGCGTCACTACTGTAGAGGGCAGCACTATAACAATTTATCAGAAAAATCTTACCGCTGAACCGAAAACTTCATTTCGGTCATGAATTAAAATCCAACCCATTCTCCAACCTGGAACCAGAAATCTGCAACATATATAATTAAATTAGCAATTTTTTTATGAAATAGCGAAGAATCAAATATGAACGTGACTGATTATTCATTTTAATTTTCTAGAGGAATCATACGTCTGCGAAAGGTTGGATATCAGGTAGCTGGATCATTAAATCAGGCAGCTGGAGCAGCTTTTGCATCTTTTAAGAAAAACTTAAAAATAGCAACAAAATTTTTTTATATTTTTGGTCGCTTGTTAGCGGATCTCCCTATCATCTCGCTGAACATAATCGTTCTTGCCGATTCGAAGTTTTCTTTGAAACTGCCCGTGCTTAGATTCAAACTACACATTATCATGTCTTAGAATCTAATTTCTCAAATTCTGCACAAAATTTCTAAAATTAGTAAACAAAACAGGCTGTTAAAAATACGTTCTCCTCCATTTTACGGTAAAGTAAATTTTACGGATAATCCATCTAAACTACCGATACTTTAATCCGGAATTTTTTTACGGTGTACACTTTTTACTTACCGATAGCAAGCCTGTTACTCTCAAGATATAGATGATTTTAAATGATTTGAAATTAAAATTGTTTGATACCGCTATACTGTACGAAATTCAGAGTAAAAAGTGCTTGACGTAAAAAAAAGAAAGGAAAATAAAGATCACTATAGTAAATACCACGGTCGTGATACCCATTTTATCTGACTATACATTTCATGTAATGTCGGATAAAATGGGTAATGCAGCAAAGAAAGTCATTTTATCTCTAAACCTAAAACTATCTTTTTGTTATGTGCGGGTTAATGGTATAATCTAATTACTTAATTCTTTTCTTTCTTGTCGTTTTCCCATGGTTAATTAAGGATGAAAAGTCTAAAATATATAATAGTCGCTAATTTAGTCCGATAAATTAATCATATTTATATTAATAAAGCCTCTAAGATGCATTAGCCCATGTTTCTAAAAGCTGCTATTCCGTTTGGTTGAGATGTCTCTTTGGTGTTTAAAACACAAAGTAATATTCAGTCTATGGCTTCAATAAAAATAAATATATATCTTTATATATATTATTGAGACAAAATAGTTGCTTTTAAAAGTTGCTGAAATATAAAATATTCAAGTTCTTACTTTCCATTTGAATTTGTATAAATGTATACTGACCTTTTTGTAAGTCCACTACAAGTTAGAATTGGTACTGATAGAGACATGGAGGCTATGGGATAAAATTCTTCACCTGGGAATACCTTAGAAAAAATAATTGAAGAAAATTAATGCGCAAATATCAGAAATAATTTTGAAGTACATTTTATTGCTTTGTAATCTTTAAGTTATATTATTTTATTAAATTCAAATGAGTTAAAAACACTTGTTGGACAGCACTATCATATTTTTCAATGATATTAATATCAGATTATTAAATTTAAATATGTTTATTGTATCAAAACATTAGTACAATTGCAGCAAAGTATAACTTAAGTACAATTTCAATAATACAAGAGTAATAATTCGTAATTAATGGTTGGGTTCCCAATTACATTATATTTTCATAGCACATATTTATTGAAAATGAAACTCCAAATTCGTCTTAACCTTCTTCTGAGAACCAATGACGGCAGAAAATGCCATTTTTTTTCTAAGGAACACATAGCTTAATAGAAAGTAAACAAATGGGGTAAAATAATTTTCAAAGGAAAAGTTCAATTAATTCAATTTAGTTAAGTTTTTTTTAAGTGTTTTTAATTATAACATACAAAATTATAAATTTTATTTTTAGCATTTTGTGTATGCATCCTTTAGAATCAAACAATATTTGTAAGTCAAAAGGTTACCTTTATCAAAACCCACTAAACTCTAATAAGATATTTGTAACTCAAAAGGTTTACTTTTATCGAAATCCACTAGACTCTTGTAAGATATTTGTAAGTCAAATGGTTATTTTTATCAAAATCCACTAGACTTTAATAAGATATCAGAAAGTCAAAAAGTTACTTTTATCAAAATATACTAGACTCTGATAAGATATTTGTAAATCAAAAGTTTACTTGAATCGAATTTCTTATCTTTCTTTTAAGTTTATATTGCAATTAACCTCTCTGATCTGAAGTATATATAATTATATTTATAGACAATCGATTTGTCAAAGCATACAAACAAGAAAAAATGCATAAATTATAATTTTTAAGAGATACTTAATACTATTCAGCACATTAGATATTAGGTAACAAGAAGTTACGCAAATTGCTGTTAGCAAAAAAACTAGTATTAAAATATCGAAAATGCTTTGATATTTACATTATAAGTTTAACATTTGTAATAATTTTATTCACAACTGATTTTACTAGGGGAGAGAGGGGTCAATTGTAACAGGGTACGATTGTAACAGAGCAAAAATTTCGAGTGTCGGGTTCTAGATTTGGTTCCTAGGTAGCGCACAAGGTGTATTTAATAAATCTACAAGTACACCCCTGCTGGCAACCATTTTTATGTATTTTTGAAAGAGTTACATCACAAAAAATATATTTTCAATCTACGTAAGTACTTTTTTTGGTATTAGAATATTATATTGTAACAAAGTAATTTTGTTTAAACAAATAAAAATTATTAACCGAATATGTAAGTGGACACCTTAATTAACATTTCCAAAAAAAAGATTAGTTTTGTTAATTAACTAGCATTGTTTTTAACAAATGAAGCTGAAATGGTGTCTTGGGGACGATTGTAACAATAGGTAAAGGGATGATTGTACCAGCTGAAAATAAATAATCTTATGTTTACAAACCATTACTTAACTCTTTAAGAACCACCAATAGTTTCCTATATCATTTATATTATGTTACATGTGCATTATTTTTGTCACCTTTCACAGCATAAATTAAAATTTTTAACACCATAAAGTTAAAAGTTTAACCCTTTAGGTCTCTGCTCATTATTATTTTTACTCCTAAAATATCACTACTATTTTGATCAATAAAAAAATCTATCACAACTATGATAATATGTATAATTAACTATGTTTTAGTTGAATTTATGAACTGTTACAATTAACCCCGTAAGTCGGGACAATTGTAGCAAGTACACGACTGTCAAAAATTGTTAATAACTAATATAATAACATTTAAAATAAGATATTTTTTTTCTAGTAGAGGATAGTCTACGTTACTTGTCTCTCAATTAATACTAATAATATATTGGATTTTCTTGTTAGTTAAAAATAGTTAAGTAAAAAATGTTACAGTTGACCCCACTCTCCCCTACAGATAATTTCATTTCCAACTAATTTTACTACAGACATAGTTTTATATCAATTAATAATTATACTTTGAATGGTATATTTAATTATTATTCCCGTTAAACGAAATTATGCAAGTGGGAAACCCCTAGATCAAATGATTTTTGTTCTTACAAGTGCCATACTTCGTAAGTATTCCGAACAAAGGTGAGAGAAAGTAAGTTATTTGGGACGATAAGCGCATCTCGAGTTCAAGGTTTGGAGCATTTTTTATTAACTTCCTTCATACGTGTTCAGATTTGAAAGTACTTATGACCACGTATATTTATTTTTATATATTTTTTTACTTGAAAACGTTTAAATGATAAAATCTCTATTTGTGGTGACGTGGTCATAACAAAACAAACAATATTTCCTACCTATAATGAATGCACGCCATTTAAACCTTATGTTTGAAACATAATACTACAAAAGGGTCTAATAAAATTATTGTATTACATTGCAAGCTATGATTAAAATAAATTATTAAGTTTCATTAGTGCAATGTAAATCTACAAATATCAGAATTTTATGAACGCATATCGATTTACGTATATAATAATAAACCACGTGTCTAAATTGCTTTGGAGTTCGTTTTCAAAAGCTTTTTTCAGTAATTAAAAACATTATTTCCTTGCAATCAAAGTACTGCGCTTTTTTGGAATAATATTGTGTAAAATATCCACCTAGAAACAATAATTAGGAACATACTTTGGCAAAGTTGAGGCTATATTGACCAAAGTCTTTCATATCTTTCTCTTTAGCTAACGTTATTCAAACTGGCTTTCGAATAATGTTCATGTATTGATATATTTTTTTATAACTCTGTCACCGGACCAGTGCCATTGTGTTTACTTTATTAATCAATATATATTATTTATTTATATTATTAAATTCTCACAATTTATTAATATCATAACTTCATTTATTTATTTATTTTACTGCATCATTCACTTTTAATAAATATATTTATTCATCATTAATATTATTTTGCTTAATAAAATTAAATTTTAAAAAAAGGTGGGTAGCTGTAATTAGCTTTACTTCACAAGCGCCAAAATCGCAATTATTCGAATCAAATTATAAATATTAAACAAGGGAGAGTACTTACGAAATGTTCATAAATTTCATCAGCTATGATGGGGACATAGTTACGAGCTGCTACCTCCAAAATAGATTGCAGATGTCTACGGCTATAGACTGAACCACAGGGATTAGATGGGTTATTGACCACTATAGCAGCCGTATCGACAGATATTTGATGTTCAAGATCAGCAAGATCTACTTCCCAAGATTTTTCAGGCTGAAAATTTAAAATACAAAAAACAAGACTATAAATTTGAATACCTGTTTATAATCTGTTATTTATTATCAATGCAGATGAGAAATTCATTTTAATAAAAGGTTTTTTCTCGAAAATTCGTCTCGCTTGGTAAGTTAGCCACAAATTCAACCAAATAAGTTGTTGAAAATCTAAAATTGATATACTACAAATTAAATTAAACGGAAAATATTTTAGATAAAACTGAACTGTTAGCAGTTTTCTTCGAACAATTTCATTACTTCTTATTTGTTAAAAAAATCGAATTGTTCAAGGATTTGTCTAAAAAAGAAAATTACAGTAATTTAACAAAAATTAGTTTTTACTGATATCTTCAATTAAAATTAATAGTTGGTTTAATTCAGTAAAGCTGGATTTTAAATTCAATTGATTTGAGATTCTTTTAGAAGAACATATTAAGTGTTATTATAAAGACGAAGATCAGTTGTTGTTTTTTCTTTTCGTTCAAAGTAATAATTATATATTTAAAACAATTCAGAAATCTTAATAATAATTTTAAAATTTTACAAAAAATATTTTAGATTGATCAACTCTAAATTGTTTTAATAAAAAAATACAGAGTTTAATTAATTATAATTCTATCTTGTAGAAATTTTTTTTAAATATGATGCTATTATGTAAAAATTATCAAATAAAAATATCTTACAAGCAGTGAAAACTATAGTATACAGGTTGTTAAATTTTCAATAAATTAAATAAAAAATTGAAAAAATAAAACGCTTAACTACTGTTTTAAGAAATATCCTTTAACAACGTAATATGTATCCAAAATATTTTTATCCTATTTTCTTACTTGAAGCTTTTTCATTTCTAATCAAAACAGTACATAGTTAAGTAAACAGCTCACTGAATTAAGGTACATTCTAAAAAAATCTACATTCGCAATATAACTATCTATATGAATAAGTAAACTTGGTCTTTAGTCTATAATTTGAAAAAAATGAATTAAATAAATATATAAAAATTTGAAATTTAGATTCAGCAAACATCCGATTTCCTTAAACAAACCTTACAGCCATAAAATAAAAATTAAAAAAAGTGCATTTCTGAACTAAAGTTCATGAGCATATGTGATGATCATTTTTATAATGCAAAATAATTTTTGATATAAATTTTAATTAAAATATTTCTTTTCACAACAGTTTCAGGTGGAAAAAGGCCTTAATTATCGTATTATAAAACCATATATCATAGTATTATAAAGTCATATTACTAACATTTGGTAGGATTTTACGCATTTTTATAATATACAGTTGATTATTCGGGAGTAAACTTCTGTCAAAAAATACGAAAGGAAGTACGTAAGTATCAATTAAAGTCAACCCGGCTCTCAGAAAATATTATCGTTATTATTTTTAAAATATTCTTTCAGAAAATTTTTACTTATTTATTAAATATCAATTAATTAATTAGTTTATTTATTAAATATCAATTAAATAAATATCAATTGATAATTTTAATAAATATTAATAGATTCTTATAAATATAAATAGATTCTTCAGAAATTTTTTTATTCACAGTAATATGATTAATGTCTTTTTCCACGCTACTCTCAAAATATTTAGTTTATTTAATAGTTGATTATTTATTAAGTTACCCTAAGCAACATCAGTAGAATGACACAGTGAAAATTCAAAAGTGTGTACTTACTAATAAAGAATAATACTTGATGTTTATACCCATACTTTCAGCAAGTGTTTTGTAGAGAGGAAATCCTGGACGTGGAACCAAGATTGTTTGGCCAGGATTAGCCAGTGCACAGATTGCTAACTCTAAAGCTTGGGAACATCCTGATGTTAAAATAACATCCTAAAACATCACATTTTAAATTCTTAAGAAATAGTAAAAAAATACAATTCGTTTATAAATATTAAATAGTTTATAAGTAATAGTTAATTTTTAAAATAACGTGAGTTATGTTTCACACTGGTAATACACACTATTTTTTTTTTCTGTGAAAATCAAAATTGAGCTAACTTATTGGCTAGGTAAATAATCAAAAGAAATTGAAGCGGTAAGTTATTACTTGATTATAAACTTCATTAGCTTCAAAACTATACAAATTGGAAACATATCCGTTATCAAGAATACGAGAATCATTAAGTGCTGCATATTGTTGGAATCTTGTATATAAACTCAATTTCGACAATGCCAAAACTTTTTCCACTTCAGCCCCATCAATTCATCTTGATTCCCTAAAGTCTTGTTTCATTCACATGAATGCTGATTAAGGAGATCAGTTTCTCACCACCTCTCAATAGAGCGGGGAAATGCATTATACCCTGATTTGCCCTTCTCGGTCACTGTGTTTTTTTCTTCCTAATTTTGTTAGGCTAACATTGGGGAGTTATTTTCTCTTGGGCGTTATTTGTAGTTATAAGCACGTAATTTATAAATCCAATTATTTATGAGCACATTAGTGAGTTTAGCTCTTAAAAGAACGTATAATTGTTTACACTGCATAAAATTTTGAAAATCGCACCCATAGAGAATTGTCTTAAAAATCAAATTTAAGATCATAAAAATTGTCCTAAAAATAAAGTTAGTTATATAAGCCAAATGACTTTCCTTTTATAAATCAATCCGAAAAATATTTTAGAATAATATTACTAGAAAAAAATGGTTCTGTAAAAGATTAAACAGTTAAAGTCGAATTCATCTTTTATGATATACGAAAAAAAATAGAGTGAAAGCAAGAGGTAAAAATAACATAAAAATCAAGAAATATTTGGTACAAAAAGCAAAAAACATGTGTGTTGCCTACTTTACGTAATTCTTGTATAACGTCATTTTGATTCAAATAAATTATTGCTTTCAGCGAAAAAGAACACGTTAATCAGATAATCCAAATTAGAAATAGATGTTCCGGCCAGCTTAAATTCAATAAAATTACAAAGAATCGAAATATAAATTACATCTGATGATGGAAAATAAAGATCAAAATAAGTAAATACTATTGCGTCGATAAAAGATTAACTCTTTTTTAAATCTAACATATCAATAGGCTGACCTTAGAAAAAGATTAATTTGACACCCACACGTCAGATTAAATCTTTAAAAAAGCGAATTTATTATTATTATTAATTGCCACTGTGTAATCCTGTATAGTTGCATGGGTGTTATTTTCATTAATTTTAACAATTTGAATCAGAATTTTTATTAAGCTTATTTTTTATATTTTTTGCATTATTTTGTATTAAATTACGTCAAGATAAGTGGAAAAAAATTATATTTAGCATTTTAATAATTTATGGTTATGAAATACAGCACCGGCGTCCCTTTCCGCGTTAAAGGTAAAATCTTCTAAACACGGCTCACTTTCGAACAAAAATTTCTCATATTTTCATTTATTTGTAGTTATTTAATTCTCATGTAAACAATTATTCATTATTGAAATTTCTTTACCAAATCAGTTATTCATACATTTTCAAATAAAAAAATATTCAAACTACTCTTTTTTTACTTTATATTTTAGTACAAGTATAGTTTTGATAATCTAACTGACTTTTTCAGTCAATTCGACTGTTGTTTTTTTGTAAAATTAAAAAATATCGAATTATACTTTTACTTGTAAGTAGAGCGTCATAAAAAGGACACCGGTGTCCCATCTGCGTCAAAGTGTTAAAGGAAGGATTTTATTTTAGTATTACTTACTTTACAAGGTATGGTCTTCATAGTTTTTAATTTCTCACAATATTGAATTTAAAATGATGAAAATTCGTCACTTGATTATTGCAGTAAATATTTGGTTGCCGAAAATTGCTGACATTTGGTCAAGATGATGGTTTAAATAATGCCATACGGATCTGTGTCTGAGGTAACATTATCAAACTATCGACCCCTCTCCCAACTAAACTATAAGGACTATATTTTCACGAAATGTAAGGGTAAAGAATTCAAATCTGTCGACGAAAAACTTGCATGTTTATACAGAGAAAGTACGCTTTTGTGTCTTAATTATTAACTTAGGTTTTCGTCTTCATAAATAAGTTAGCATACATAAGGTTATACTATTGAACCATTAAGATTGCTTCTTAGCACATTTAAATCCGATCACTACATCATTAAAAAATAGAATATAAAAATCCTGACAGTAGACCAGTTATTAAGGTGTCCTGTTTTTTTTTTCGCTCACTGTATATTAAATACAGCTCTTTGCAAACTGCCGATAGCATTTGGAGAGTCTAGTAGGCTCTTTGTTAAGCGACGTAGATAGTTTGCAAAGAGTCGACAAAAAGAGTTGGTATCACTTCACATTTTTATCACTTAACAATTACAAACATTATTTATTTCAAATCCAGATGACTTGTCTTATAGACGCTCTCTTTAATGAACTTTCTATACCCTCTTTATGTTTGTTATAAGATTAAAAACATTTTAAGGAATTTCAAATATTTAAATTAGTTCAGGTAAACAGGAAATGTTCCAAGAGTACATTTTGACACGTTTTGCAAACTTGAGTTATTTAAACCTGAAATGATCACGTGACGCCTCGAAACAAAAACTGTTCTTCAAAAAATAAGTCACGTGCTTTTTGTTATCGAGAAAACGCATAAAGTGCTACATTTTGCTTATCTTTTTTTAAGCGCTTGCTGAAACTGAAAGGAAACGTCGTACAGTTAAAACAAAAATTTTGACCGTATCATATTTTTGAGATTTGTTCTCTCTACAGCACATTTCGCAATACTTTTACCCACATTGCAAGATAAGATAGTTGAATTCCTAACCAAGGCATGTGTTCGAAACCTTTTCGGATTTCGAAACTGAGAAAAAAAAATGGTACGATAAAGCGATAAAAATTCCGAAGTATAAAAATTTGCCAAATATTTCACACGAAAATCTCATTATCATTAACGCAATATCAAACTTTTTATTACATCGAGAAGAAATCACAAGCATGTAATTAGTTGCGCAAATAAAAATCCAAATAATTGCTCAAAGTCTTTTTAACGAGTTGCACTCAAAATAATATTATTTCTGCTCTGAGTGACTATCCAATTTTTTGGCTAAGACTTAGAATGTTCTCAAAAAGAATCCGAATTTGCTCCACTAATCTTTACTCAAAATAATACTTCCACTAAATAATATTTTCTCCACTCAGAATGAACATTCAATTTATGGCTAAGACATAGAATGTTCTCAAAAAAGAAAGTAATAAAATACTTTATAGACGAAAATCGATATGTTTGTTGTACTCCACTAATCTTCTCTCAAAATAATACTTCCACTAAATATTATTTTTGCTCTGAATGAACATTCAATTTATGGCTAAGACTTAGAATGTTCTCGAAAAGAATCCGAATTTACTCCACTAATCTTTACTCAAAATAATACTTCCACTAAATAATATTTTCTCTGCTCAGAATGAACATTCAATTTAAGGCTAAGACATAGAATGTTCTCAAAAGGAAAGTAATAAAATACCTTTTAGACGAAAATCGTTATGTTTGTTGTACTCCACTAATCTTCTCTCAAAATAATACTTCCACTAAATATTATTTCTGCTCTGAATAACCATTCAATTTATAGCTAAGACTTAGAATGTTCTCGAAAAGAAAGTAATGGAATACCTTATACACGAAAATCGATATGTCTGTTTTATTCCACTAAAATTTACTAGATCCCTGGATTGTTGTTTCAATGTTTCAAGATTAAACACAATTTTGGTGAGAGGAGACAACTGAGGTGATTCAATAACGTTACAAAGGGTGGAAAACCTGATGGTGGAATGTGTGGGATAAAAACCCAGCTTACTTTCGGGAATGAACAAGGTTGTTTGGGAAGTAAATTTTAAAAATTGCTGTTTTTTTCCCAAGAATTAAAAACATTAGCATTTATCAGCGGCAGTAGTAGAAATCCTTCGCCAGAAGCAATATCTTAGATAAGTTTTCAAACTTTTCGTTGATAAAATTTGTCTACATTTTTGATAGTATCTTTAGAAAAATTCCTTGTAATTTTTTTTTTAATATCCTCTATTAGTGATTAACAAAAACATGATCTTCAGCTTTTTTAAATGCATTGAATTTTTAGTATATATTATATAAACTAACCTTTGCATTTAATGCAAAACATTAAAACCTATGATTACAAACTAGTTATAATTTTATTGTTCCGTAATCTCTGCTCTTCAACAGTTTTACAAAACTCAGGCTCGTAAAACGGAATCCTGAAAAATTAAAAAGTAATCGTACTACAGGGGAAAATTTCTTTAATGAATATGTTGCTTGATAAGCAAAAGAGACAGTTGGAAGAATATTTTAAAACTAGAGTAAGTAATTTAAGGAAGAGGGTATTCGGGCCCTTTGCATCGTTTTAACATGGTTGACTCACCTCAGTGTAATTTATATGATACTGGACAAAACATGACTGCAGCTCATCTCAACGAATGCTCTGCTTTGAGGGACTTAATATGTTCTGAGAAAAGTATTGGAAAGCCCGTAGTCAAATGACAAAATAGCAAATAGACTGGCATTTGTAAAACAAATAATTTAAGGAAAAGGAAGTGTCAAGTAAAATAAAGTAAACAATCTACCAGCTTTTATGTTTGAAAACATCCAAAATACGAAATGAAAGTCAAAAACCATAACAGCATTCCATTCCTTTGCATCGAGTGTTACCTAGGGACGTGATAAATATTTTTTGGTGGTTCGAATCAAATTTTTGTTGTCCAGTACAACCGTTAATTTTAAATCCTATTAAGTTTGATAGAAAGAGAGAGAAATTTGTGGCGAACAACATCACAATTATTACTTTTAAAACACTACTTGGTATCGTAATTGTTTTGAAATCTTGTTGATTCTACGAACGGTGAAAAGCATGGAAAACGTAGAGAAGGTCACTGGATTACTGCACACCTTACGGAAAAAGAATGCATGCCTTTGCGAATTTTATTCCAGAAAAAAAGTTTTTTTCTTTCTTCCCTTGGAGTGTTGCTATAAACACTACGACTTTCATCATATCTGCATCATAATAACACAACACGTATTAAATGCAATAAAAATGTTGTAAACATTCTAGAATGTAGAACTGAATCAAGCAATTGCTTTCTTCGTGTTTGTTTTATTAGAAGATTTTAAAAAATGAGTGAAAAAAGAAAATTAAGAGTAATATCTACTATTTTTTTATAAATTGTTTTAAATATATAAATACAAAATTGGTTTAAATGCTTACTTTAAAATTAAAAATATGAAATATACTTTATGATTTCAGTATGGTGGAAGCGATATATTATAAACTGATGTGACACGCATACTGAAAAAACATATATCGATTGGCAGCTTCACGCATATTACAAATAAGTAAATAAAGAACAGATAAATTTGTATGATTTTTAATTTTTTTATAAAAAAAATCCTCAGTTTTCAAGAAAAACTAAAATTTTAATTTGTTAAATCATATACATTTTATGGCTTCCTATTTGTATGATCGTTGACAAATATTTTATTCCAATTCATTCTAAATATTTTTTCTAATTTTATTTCAACTATTTATTACTAATCCAAAAGAAAAGGGTACTCCTCTAGCAAGTATTGGGACAAACATGCCTTTGTGCATGACTTTTGATTGAGCTAACCTACATTTAAGTTACATCGAGAGGAAAACCACGAAAACCTCCAATGGTTAGCCTAAAGGCGAAGGGACTCTAATCCATGATCCGTCTACCACTGAGGATATTACTCTGCAACACTGCGGTCATTGCGAGCCGGTGCGGAATTCGTATCGTCCAGCCATCGCCCGTTGGGAAAGATTATACTACTTGGTTTATGGTGAAAGTTAATAGGCAACATTTTTTAAAATATTGATTTACTTTGTGAATAATTAAAAGCATAACAGGCCAACTAATAGGTCTTATATACGTGTGTTTGAATTATTCCTTTGTTATGACCAGAAAACATTTTATACTCAGCTTTAAATACCAAGATAAAACATTAAAACATAAAACATAATTGTTTTTACATTAAAACATAATTGTCTACTCAAACTTTACCACAACGTTAGCACAAGCTGGCTTTTATAAAGTTACTTTACTTTTAAATCTAATGTTTCGCTTGAAAGTTTTAAAATCAAAATTCAAAACTTCAGGACTTTTTAAGTTTCTAAGGTATATTTTCAAACATAACAAAAACAATATTTAAAAAAATCGTAAAAAACAAATTTTTTACTAATCAAATATTTTTTTCCTTAAAACATTTTCTTTTTATTGTTTATTTACGAAATTATACGTATTCCTTCAGATTTCTGAGATTATATATATATACCTGCTTACTGAAGATGTATCAATGATCAATCAGTTACTTGCAGCAATCAATCAGAATACGTTTCATTTTAAAGTGAAATAATAAAGTAAACAACTAATTGCCATTAACAGCCACAATATTACGGTTTGAGTGATAACAATCAATTTATTAAGTTCAACTGCTAGTTCGGGCATCTATATTTAAAAACTAAATGAAAAGAATTCAGCAACTTTGTCAGATGCTTATTATTTATATTTGTAAAGCGTAAAAATATTCCGAAAACTAACATAAGTATGCTGAATAAATAAACGAAACCGAATTTATTCGAAGGTTTGTCTGACAAGTAACAAAATGTATGACAGAAGGAAGTAGTTCCCAAGGCTTGTGATTATTTTATTACTTGAAAAATTGTTTAAAATAAATTCCGACTATGAACACAGGAACACAGGAACTGTTCTACCAAGGAGTATTCTGACATAGAACGTGCCTCAAATATCGATTAAACTTTTGATTTCACTTTTTAGCAAGCATATCTCAAAAAAAGGCCCAATGTTTATAGTTAGGAAGAAGGTCAATAAAAAAGGTTCATTGACTATTACAGGTTTCGCATGACAATGTGTTCGAGCCAGGGTCAACATTGCAATGAAGGTCTCAGTCACACTTCTAGATACCTCACTAAGAGGAAGTATATCGGTATGATTTGACAACTAAGAAGGCATTTTTATTGAGCATACATGTTTGCGGTAGTCGAAAATACATTATATGTTAAAAGTTTAAACACTGAAATAAATTCATTTGTGGTATTTAGTCAAATAGTATTTATACCTTCAAATACTATGGAGATAGTTTTAGGTTAACTTTCAGTTATTTCGGGAAAAAAAGACGTTGGATTGAGACATTTAATAAAATACGATAGTTTTTCAAGTTTTGCCAATTTGAATTCCGTTTTGATAGCTATCTGAAGCCATGTTTATTTTGCTTGGAGTAATGCTTTTAAAGCGCGTTTTTTTCAAAACTAAACGAGGTAAAGTTTACACTGTAAAAAATTTTGGATCAAATTACGGTAAGAAGTACCGGAACTCAGGGTGCCGATACTTTTTACCGTAAAATCCATTTTCCAGGAACAAAACGGAACAAGAAATCTAATATACCGATATTTTACAGTAATAAATACCTAAAAATCACTGCATCACTCTAATTAAATATTACGGTAAAAATTACGCTATAATATTTTACGGTAAAAATGGACGGATGGTGCACCTGAAGTACAGATACTTTATCCCGTAATTTGATCCGAAATTCCTTCGGTGCATCCTCCGATTCCTTCTTTTATGAATTTCGCTTAATTTGATCTTACTTTTATTGGGAGATATTTATAGTTATTTTAGTACTAACTTAACCTAGTGTAATAGTGTAACAATAGGTAAATATATATTTGGTACTTTTCAGACGGACGTTAGTTTCTTTTATCTATTTTTTATTATTTTATTTCATTTTATTATTTATTTTGGTGATAGTCACTATTTTAAAAAAAATTATGAAATAACAACAATAGATTTATAGTTGAAATTACTTGCCTCATCTGACGGAATAGTATCAAATATATTAAAAGTATGGTAAGTTTTTAATATACCTTTGCTTCTATAGGAGCACCTGGAAGAGTAGCATATTGTGCAACTGCTTCACGAGCATCTAAATGACCTGAAATAAGAACAGAGAACAGTGTGATTATAATACTTTATTTTGAAAAAAGGTTTAAATTTCAATGATAATTGCGTGAAATTTTATTTTTCCGTCCAATTTAAAGAATGCAATCAGTTTTAAAACTTCAAAGTTTAAAAAAAATGTATTTTATGAAAATATATTATTTTGTAACAGGTCTTCGATTAAAAAAAAACGTCTACGATTGTTTATCTAATTATTCATTAAAACTCATAAAATAAGTAAAGACAAAACAGGTATAAAATGAAATACCAGAAAACAACGAAAAAACACATAAAATTTAAGAGACATAAAGTTTAGAAAACGTCCCCCTCCCGAACTTGGACACCAATTGGCTGTAAAATGTTCTTATTGACACTAGATGGAGCGCGATAAAAATTGCCTGTTACAATATTTTATTTAACTGCATTATTAGTTCTTATTTAATGGAGTAATTTAGTTATTTTCGAATAAAAATTTACATCTATATTCAATTGGTGTACCAGGGCCGTAAGAAAAATATAATTTAAATTCATCATGTGTTATAAAATAATCTATTAATTTAACTTTAAATTATCTATTAAATTAACAAGTTTATCTTTTGTTCATATAAACAGTACGACTTGAATCCTCAGCATCTTTACGACTTTGCGTGAAATTGTTAATATTTCATCCCAAAGAAAAAATTGTAATTCAAAGTCCTTTTAAAATGCAGTAGAAAGTTTTTCTCTTAATGTTTGTGATAAAAAAAAAATTTGAATATTCGCAAACACGAATGTAGTAATCTTTTAATTACAGCACTTAACAATGCTTACCAGTACTTGGTGCATATCCATTATATCTAAAACTTTTCATACTTTTCTCAACAGCTTGTAAAATTTCGTCGCATGGTTTGAGATGACCGGCAACTGTTGGATCCCCTAAAATGAAACGCAAAACCGCATGTAAAATAATCAAAAAAACATATTCAATCAAAAAATTTATTGAATAATAATAAACTAATTCGACTGTTTAATAATTTTTGTAATTAGTAAGCTCTAAGAAAACCTGCACCTCTATCCATAATGTTGTGAAAACTTACTGAAACCATAATAAGGTGTTAAATTAAACCTTGTAATCTGTCTAGTTGAACCATAAATTATATAATCAAGGCAAGATATACTGCCCGATACTTTGGCACACTTTTCGCATTTTGCACGATAAGGTAATTTAAAATTGGAACGATAACTTGATTCAACAAGTTCCGAAATTCCTAAGAATGTAAAAAAGAATTGAGACGCTTAGTTAAATAAAATAATATTTCAAGTTTCAATCACGTGAATGGTGTTGGGTACAACGTGAGTGCGTTCCATTACTCAATAAATTTTGTAATCAGTAGGCTCAAAGGAAATCTGTACCTTTGCCTCTAATACTGTGTAAACTCACTGAAACCATAATAAGATGTTCAATTAAGCCATGTTTCCCGTCAAGTTGAACCCCAAATCATGCAATCAAGTTCAAAAAATACTATTTTGCGTGATAACGTAATGGGAAATTAAGATTGCAGCAAATTTAAAGAATATCTTGGTATAACAAATTCCAAAATTTTTAACACTGCAAAAAAAAAAAAAAAGAATTGCGGCGTTAAATGGAATATAAAAAAAACTTCAAGTTTTATTTGCATTAATGGTAATAGAGATCAATCTGAATAATTCCATTATTCCATATATTTTGTAATTATCACGCTCGAAGGAAATCTGTACCTTTATCCATGACATAAACGTGCTGAATTAAACCGTGCTTTCTACCAAGTTGAACCACAAATCGTGTGATCAAGTTCAAGAAATACTATTTTGCATGATAACGTAATGTGAAATTAAGGTTGCAGCAAATTCAAACAATATCTTGGTACAACCAATTCCGAAGTTTTTAACGATGTAAAAAAAGAATTTGGGCGTTAAATAAAATATAAAAAAATTTCAAGTTTTATTTGCATGAATGGTAATAGGGCTGAATAATTCCATTATTCCATACATTTTGTAATTAGCACGCTCGAAAAAAATTCATACCTTTACTTATAACATAAATGTCTTGAATTAAACTGTTCTTCTTGTCAAGTTGAACCACAAATCGTGCAATCAACTTCAAGAAATACTATTTTGCATGATAATGTAATGTGAAATTAGGGTTGCTGAAAATTTAAGAGAAAAATACTTCATCGAATCCCGATTTTGAAAAATATCGGAAGCAACATGATTATTTTGTTTATAGTTGCGTTGTTGAGACGTATTTGTATAAAACTAAATTTGAGTCCACATAGAAATACTTTAAATGAAATGAAAGAAAATTAGATATAGTTTAAATAACACACAGTGTCTAATATACTGGACAGCATTTGCTGTAATTTTATCACATAAAAATTATATTTTTGGTTTTCTTTTTCTGCCTGTATGTCTTTACTAAGCAATTGACAACGCAGATACTTAATTGGTTTGCTTTTGATGATCTGAACTCGTTATTTTAATAAAAATTGTTCTAATTTATAACGATTCATTAGTTATTTACAATTTCATTTACTCCATACGAAGATCGAGTATTCAGCTAGCATACAGTATAATAATAAAATGTTTACGTTCTTCGCAAGCTTTGTGTTATCCTTTCTAAACAGCAAACATGATCAAGTTCATTTGTGTTTTTAATTAGTTAATACGAAAACAAGTTGCGAAGGAGATAATTAACTACCTAATAATTATACAAATCCGAACGTGATTCAGATAATAATACAAAAATCTCAAGAAATAGAAAGCGAAAGTAATTTTTTTACAGTACTTATAGAATCAAATTACTGACACAACCTTCAAACAATGTTTTAACCCTGAAAACGCAACTAAACTCATGCAATGTAACATTAACTGATTGCGTTCGTAATTCGCTGATTAAACATCAATATCAAGCTTTCGGCATAATTTAGTGAATAAAATACTACTCATTTTCAACAAAGAATTGCGAAAATCAATGTCCTCCAACTATTTCCTAAATTTCTTTTTAAGTAGCATTCTTTTGAATACCTATTATTCTTTAGAGAGGCGAAATTTATTTAAACTTAATTAAATGATGAATTAATGATGTAGTTACTCTGATAAAAAAGTGTGGTAAAAACTACCAGAATAAATTAACATGCCTCTGACTCTATAGGAACGCTAAAAAGCTCTGCAATTTTTACCGAAGAGTTTCGGTAATGATTTTAGTAAATTATCAATTAAATATTGTTTTTATAATATGTGATAAATTTTAGAAAAAATAATATAATATGATAATTTTATCATGATAGCTTAGATCATGGTACAAATATCATTTATTCGTTTTTTATATTGTATTTTTTATGGCGATAAGAACTATAATTTCAAAAACCATAATTACTGATTAACGGTTTCCATATGAACGAAAAAAATTATCAAAGGAATAGTCTAAAACCGTAAGTTTTGGCATTATTAAACATTATTATTGTTCTTTTTACAAAAAATGTCATTACTAAACAGTACGGTAATTTTACCAGAATTTTTTTTTCGTGTATATGAATTGATAAAATCATAGTATTAGTGCTTCAAGATAGAATTCGTGAAAAGTGACTTGACAACTATTTTCTTTCCCTTTCTAATGCTGTCAATGCTATAATATTTGGATACTGATATAAAAAAGTACTGATATAATACATATATGATATAGATTGCTGTTTAAAAAAATTGGGTTTTGGAAGAAAAAATAATTTTTTTAACTACTTTTTGTAGCTAATTAAACAAAAATGCCAAATAAATAAAAATCTTGATTTTAATTTTCTTGTTGCTTACATTGATTTTTCTATTGCAGGTCAGCATGTGTTAAAGCATGTTTTCAATACACGATTGAACATGAAGTAAGAAATTTCTTGTTTTCAGCTTATAACGATAGTATCTTCCCTTTTTAACCTTGAATTATTACTTGCTTAAACTTCTATAATTTTGCAGCTACAGCTCGACGTGAACGAGATTATACAGAGAGAAAATATTATTCTAAAATTACTTATCTTGCTAAAAATTTTACCAAAAATCATAACCAAAGCGCTCCGGTAAAAATTACTAAGACTTTCGATGTTCCCATAGACCCAGAAACACGGTATATTTTACCATATTATAGTAGTTTTGACCATACATTTTTTCTCAGTGTACGGTGATTATTATTAAAACTCTGTTATTTTTTTCCTTCTTTTTTTAATTGCAAGCCCGAATCGGGGCAAAAAACAATCTAAAAGCTTCGGAAACTACGGTTCATACTAATTTACCTCAAAGGCCCAAACCATTCATTTTTTTTAAGTTGTATATTTCATTATTATTAAGGAGTGCCTAGTTTATCGGAGAATATTATAAGTATTTTATGCAAAAAATAATAATAATAATATTAACATCGTTTTCTATCACATTTTCCAATGGACTGGCTCAACTTTTCACAAAATCAGAAGAATTTTTCCGGTGCTCCAAACGGCCAATTCATACTTGATTAGCTTTTCAATTTTTACGATGTTAATTATGCCTAAAGCAATGAGCAAAAGTTAATATATTAACTTTCATGATGTTGGAGGATTGGTGCCATATCAAAAATTATAAAATGACTAGCATATAAAAATTCTTTTTTCCTCTTTTTTTATTACTAACTTGTTGATGCTTGTTCAAAAAAGGTCACTCTCTCTCCTATGTTTTAATATTAAAAAAACTGAGGAAATATTCTTACCTATTGATAACGAAATGACTTTCTTCTCAGGATTCGGAACCAATTTCATATTTTCAATCAATCTACGGATGGTGTTAACTGTACCCGTGGAGCAATTTGATGCTTTCACATTCCATTTCTTCCTATTGTTCTTCTCTTGTCTTTGAAGCTGGGGTGGATCAGCGAGGGTGGCAGACACTCGGATAGGCATTTTCAAACAAAATAAAAATACTTCAAATAATCAGCAACAAAAAAAAATCTGCGAGAATCTAGAAATTTGTCAACTGTACTCAATATCCAAGGAAAAAGTTCTCTCACTAATTGATTTAAGGCTGTGCGTAAACTCAGGCTATTCTTCGAAAGAAAACAGATAAAATTGAGGCTAACAGACACCGACGATTAACCGTTACCAGCCTTATAAAAACTGGGAGATATAACTGAGAATATGGTTAGTCCGGATTCGGCCTTGGAAATGTAAAAAGCAATATAATTTGTAGTTTAAGAAACGATCACTCATAGCATTGAAGCGCAATGGTTTGAAATCGGTGTGTCCTGACGAATTATCAAACATCAAGTTGGGATACTTGGTTCGTTCAAGACAAACTGAGAATCTGAAAAATAATTTGAAAAATATATCATAATAAAAATGCAATTTATCACAATATTTTAAGAGAATTTATGCATGCGCTATGTATAAATATTCTCGATGAATTTTGTTCTTAACAAACATAAGAACAAAAATTCATCCAGAAAGATACTGCTAATTAGGTGTAAAATTATCCTTACTGATACAGTATCATTTGATGATACTAAACCATATAAAAGAGATGGAAAATAATGTTGTCGCTACAATGATAACTTTAGGTAATTTTTGCAATATGAATATTTTCTCAACATTTTAAAATCATAAAATTAAGAAGTTAGTAATTTTAAGTAAGTAGTTTAATATCGTACGTATGTCTGATTTTAGATTTTTTTAAAAATAATTTTATTATTATTTAAACTAGCAAAAACTGATTCGAATAATGCCAAGCAATTCAAGTAATATAAGTCTCTAAAAAATAAAGATAGTTAATCAAACGATCTAAAAGTATACAAATGAAATAATTCTTAAATATCTTTTAAAAAATACTGATTGCAGAATTTCATATGTGTAATTTTGCTAGAAAAAATCAACTAAAATTTTAAATTAACGCAAGCCATACTTTTACCATTCTAATTACATAACGATATAGTATTTTGCAATTTTCAATTCATACAGTATTTTTCAATTATAGTATCACCATTGTGTATATTAAATGAAACTGTTTTAATAAGTATTTAAAATTTTCAAACTTCAGTCTACTTCTTTTGAAAGCTCAGTGAATTGAGTGAATTCATTTTGAATTCAGTGTAGAGGAAAGGGACTTCTTAAGGGGTTTAACTAGCATTAGCATAGTGGTAAGACTATCGAAATGCAGAGATAGTTCGATATCATGCCATTTACAAAATTTAATGCCGAATTTCACCATTTTTACAGTATAACGAGAGATTAATGAGCTTATATATCTCTAAAGTTTTTTTATTTCATTAAAAAGTCAAATTTAATTTTATAATTAAAAGGAACACTTTTTGGAATGTTTTGAAAAATGTGAAATGTAGTGTCAGTATACCCCGACATTTAATATAAAAACTAAAATTAAAAATTCTAGAGATATGAAAATATTTATTCTAGAAATTATAACTTAATTTTTAATTGTAAAGAGTATCAATGCTTTCTTGATTACGAGAAAAAATCTTTGAATATTTTTTGTTTTTTTTTAAAAAATAGAAAATGATTATTTAAAACCCACCTTATGTTTAAAATAGTTTTCAAATTTATGGGGAATTTTTAGGATAGATATTTTAATAACAGTTTAACGTTGAATTTTGATACCAATGTCAAATATGTTAACTTAATTTTTTGCACAATGAAACTCGTATTTATTAAAACATTAGTCTGTTTTATGTATTAAATTAAAGTGCTTTTCCATAAATAAATCTAATTTTGACAAAACTAAGAAGCCCAACTATCGCCTTATAAATTTTAAATACAAAATACATCACAAAATAGAGAAATGCAAAAATATCTAAGGACGGCGTGATGCTGAAAAATGCTTGCATATTGATACGCTTGATGCTTTGTCAATACTTGCTAAGCACCTTAATAAATAAGCTTTTTTTTTAAACTAGTTATGAAACAAAGAAGATTTAGTAATAAAAAAAGCATTTTTGGGAGTCTGCTTTTATTATTTTATTTTATATAAAGAGAAACTCTGAGCAATAAGTAAAAGACATACGAGAGGCAGATTCCCATATTTTGTATTAGGAAAAATGCCATTTAAAGTTTGCGATAACTTCTTTAATTCATGAAAAAGTGATAGTGTGTTTTTATACTAAATGGGTTTTATGTGTTATTTATATGTTATATATTTGTGTTGTTTAACGTTAATTATATACTTTCTTTAAAACTTTTAGTTGAATCTGTTAAAAATCGAACAAATTATTATGTCTCAGAAAGCGATGAACATACATTTCTTTGAGAAAACTTTAATTAAAATATGCGAAAGCGTATCTAAATCCTTGCAAATGATATAAACTCTCTATAAATTTGCTTTAAACTAAACTAACTGTCAATTTAAAAAACCTCTGAAAATTTTTTCAAATTTTATATTCCATTCTTATTTTTTTATAATTCATTTTAAACGAACGATACATTACGATTGATAACAAAAAATACCCAATTTGAAAGTCTGGAGTTTTTTCCTGGTAATTATTTAAGAACTTCGAACGTTTCTGCGTAACATTTAATGTATCAATAAGTAAACAGTAAACAATGTAAAAAAGTTTACATTTTTGGCTAAAAAAATACTTTGTATTCTAAATAATTCAGAAATCCATGTGATTGGAAGAATTAAAGTTAAATGGAGAGAAAAATGAAATACTACTTTCAATTATGGCAGCGTTAAGTATTCGTCAAAAAACAGATCCTTTCACAAAAATCAAATTCGTGAAAAGACAAAATCGAACTTATACAGCAATTCTGCTTACGCGCATCTATTCAATCAAATACGGAAGCAAAAGAAGTTATTACGCATAAATTTTAATAGTAAAAAAAAAAGTTGGTTCGTAGCAATATAAACCCAAATAGCAGAAAAAATAATAATGGTAAAATATTTTCTTCAATGGGCCAGCTCGCTATTTGGAAGAAGAGAAAATTATTAGGGTAAAGTTCGACCGAAAAAATGTTTATCACTTAATTAAATTTAACAATAAATAGGCTTTTGTTTTTAATGCAAATTCGACAGAGAAAAGGAATTCATCAATATGAAATTTTTCAGTCAGCCTCTTGTTGATTATAAGAAATTATCAAAAACTAAACCAGACTAAAAAAAACAACAACAAAAAAGAACAATTGGTTAATCCGTCGATAGAACGTTTAGAGAATTCCGCCATAACTTAGGAGGGCCTGTCTATATCTTTTCTATTTATATGAGTTTTTTTTTTGTTGTTTTTTTTTTAATAAAATTTATATGGCGTACAATAATATAAGTATCAATCAAATTATACTTTAAAGATAAACTACTAAATTATGCAAAAATTAAAAGGTTTTTTAAAATAGAATTTTTTTTCTTCGTCTAATGAAATTAAAAAGAAAAAATATGTGGTAATAAATAATAAACAGCTTATTATTTGATAAAATAAAAATAAAAAATTATAAAATTTACATGATATACAATAATTAAAGTATCAATCAAATTATACTTTGAAGATAATATTACTAAATTATGTAAAAATTAAAGGGTTTTTTAAAATATATTTTTTCTTCTTCTTTTAATGAAATTAAAAAGAAGAAAAATGTGGTAATAAATAATAAAAAGCTAATTATTTGATAAAATAAAAGTAAATTTGTTAATTTTAACTTCTACTGATTGATAGGGAAATAAAAATTACCAATGAGATAACAAAAAATTAAAGCATGTTATATTGTATTATACATTTTTAACTAAAAATGAATAAATATTTTTCATAAAATTAAAGATCACAATTCTATGAACATAACTCTGAAATATTTTAGATTAATGGTACTAACTAATCAAAAGAAACTTACCAATGAATCTGTAGAACACTAGTGACAAGTAATTCTTTATGAACTGAAAACCAATTCTTCTAATTTTTTTACTCGAGCGAAAAGCTAATTAATATATTCTTAACAAAATTCTGGAATATTCTTAGTTCCACTCCACTATGGTCGTCATCAAAAGTCACCGGTCGAAATTGTCCAAATTCAAGTGAAGTTGAGGTGTTTATATAGGTTAACCCCGCGGCAGATTTAACTAAGCCACAAGGTTGCTTTGAGGGTCGTGTAACACGTGTCTCGGATTTAAGGGATATCGAAATGCTTTCCCTTTTACTTTATCTCTTGTTTCATTTGTTTTTTAGTTAAAGATGTTGTCGTTTGGACGTCATCGAAGAATAAGTTATGGCGAAAATTGGCAGACGATAATCCGCGTTTCTGTTTAACGATGGAATAAACTATTTTCAGACGATTTTTTACCTAAAAAGATTGGTTTATTTTAATTCCATCTGTTCTCATATCTTTAAAATTTGTTTTCTAAGATTAAATTCTGGAATTTAAATTCAATTGTCTTCTTACAAAAATTTTATTATAAATCAAAAATAGAATGGGAATAAGTTTTTATAAAAGAATGTATTCGATTTAATTTATGTGTCACCATTTATTTAATTTTGTCAAAGCTTTTATTTTATTCTTTTCATTTATTTAAACGACAACGTTTGGACGTCATTGAAGAATAAGTTATGGCGATAAGTGACAAATATAATGCTTTTTTTCTTTTCTTTCTTTTTTCTTCTTTTTTTTCTTTTTTACTTTGTAAAAGATTTGTTTGTTTAAATTCGTTCTTTTGCCTATGAAACATGTTTTCTATATTATAGAAAGTTTCTCTAACAATAAATCAAAAGTATCGAGAGAGTAAGAACATACATTTAAATATAGATTTGATATTAAGTATTTATTGTTTATTTGCACCATTTATTTCATTTCGTTTCCTTATTAATGTAAAATATTAAATTAATACAATTATAGGTAAGCAAGATTTCTGTGTGTAATATAATGAGTCTAGCATGGATTGGTTCTACAGGAAATGAATAAAAATTTAACTTTCTGGCAATAGCTTGATATTTTCTCCTTTTAATATGTTTGATTTTTTTTAAAGAACATCATTGGAAGAAGTTATAAATTATGTTTCATTATACATTTTTACAGAAAAAACATTCCTTCATTAGTATTGATAATTCATAGATGAGAATATTTTACCTGGACCAATTTTAACTTTTTAGTTTCATGCAAAATTAAACAATTCATAAAAGATACAAAATATATTTTTTTGAATAAGTTTTGCCCTAAACGAATACTCTTTCATGCGTTCCAAGAAAAAAAAAATTTCGAAACAAGAGAAATCAATCTAAGAAAAATCCAGATGTTGTCCGTACGTTGGACCCCTTTATGTCTTACATTATATCATAAAGTGTTTAACTTTGGAGCTCTTTTCTCCTAGATTTTGAATGTTTATTGAAATAAGACACTGATGAAGTTATACTTATTGTAATAAAGCTTTCACGTAACCTGCATTTGCTGAAACTAAATAGAGACGTAAACCCAAATAATATATGCCAGAATATTTTAATTGGCCACATATTATTGATTAATAGAACTCTTTCCAATTGTGACAGCTTTGTTATGGGTCTTACTTATGACTAAGATCTCCGAAGAACAGGTTGCAGATCAAAGCCTCCGTGCCAACATCATCGATCCTCACCGTGGTGGCAAGCTTTACATGCCAGGTACAGGGCCGTAACTACGCCGGGGCAGTCGGGGCGCCGCCCCGGGGCCCCGACGGTCAAGGGGGCCCCATATGAAGGGACCACGCGAAATTTTTTAAAATGGTTTATATATATACATGAAAGAGATTGTGCGAAGATTTGCTAAAATCTTCTTTTTCGTAGTTACATATCGACTTTAACATAGGGTGAAAGACTTTTTCCGAGAATTATATCCCTTCCTCAAAAGAACAAAAACGCTTCACAGAAAAGAGGAAACGCATTTTTGAAGCTATACCCCTAATAAGAAACTTTATGTTGTTCTGAAATTAACTTGAATGGGCAAATAAGGTACCTTTTGAAATTTGGGAAAGTAAAGTGAAAGAAAGTGGAAAAATATCTTTAGTTTCACTCTATTTTTTGAGAATCGAAAACTTTATTTTGTTTCAAAATTGTAAAGGAGTGCTTCACCCCTTCTAAAATTTAGACATCCTCAAAAGTAAGTTCCAGTAGAATTAGTAAATTGAGAAAGAGAAAAAAGCTATTTTTTTCAACATTTAAGTTATTTTCTAAATAGAAAACTTAATTTTCCTCCAAATAAAAAAGAGAAATCTGCTTAAATTTTTTTTTAAGGAAAAGCAAATTTAAGGATATTTTTCAAGTAGAAAATTTTATTTTCCTCTTAAA